ACAAAACAGTACCATTTTGCACAGCCTTAGTGGGCAGGACCAAGGGGCCCTGGCTGACCAGTTGCTGCTGGAGTAGCTCCAGACAGTGCTGCTCCAGGGCCTGCAGCCAGGCCCAGTGCACCTGCTCTGCCTGGTCCCGTGCCTCCTCCTGGGTGGTCTTCTAGGTAATGTCCTTGTCCTGCCAGGGTTCCTTTGCACCTGCTGCTGTGACCGTTCTCACACTGCCCAGTTTTCAACTGCTGCCACCAGCCACTGGAGCAGAAAGGCCCAGTCCCTGGTATGCCGCTGGCACAGCCAGCACATTTGGGTGGGTCCAGTGGGAGATGGCAGTGACCCTGCTGTGGCACTCCTGCAGGACCCTGCAGCCTCTCCCCTGCATCCAGACATTGGCCTTCCAGAGGTAAGAGACAAAGGGCTTTTGTGTGAGTTTGCAACATTGCAGAGATAAGATGCTCTACACCAGGGTCCCTGCACTGCCCAGTTTCATATTGGAGGTTGGCTGTACACAGGTGCCCAGGGACCATGGTATGCTGTCTGGGTGGGGCTGGGCCTAGGCAGTCGCTGGCCGAGCCCACTGACCCCACTTGCTTCCCTGGGGCTGGCAGGCCACTGGGCACTGGCCACAGGCAGCCTGCCTCCCCTGCCCCTTCCCAGGGCAGGCCAAGCCAGGCTGCTGGCAGCACCTGCTGCCGCAGCTCCAGACCCCACCCCACCACTCTCTCCCTGCAGATCAGCCACTCTGTTGCACTGCTGCCCAGCCCATTGCACCCAGGCTCGGAACATGCAGGGCTCCTGGACAACTGGAGTGAAGGGCTGGCCACACTCCTGCCCTCCCCTCAGGGAGCCTCCCTGGGGAGGTGCCATGGGGCTGAACTCCCCCATGCTGCTGCTGTACCCAAGCATGCCCCTGATGTGTGTGCCCCAGGCAGTGTGCAATGACCTGTCTGTGCAGGTGGAGCACTGCCTGAGCCACTGCGCCTGGCTGCTGCTGATTCTGCTGGTACCCCGGGCAGACCTGCACTCCTGGTTCAAGACCCAGAGCTACGATGGCATGGGGGGCAAACCTGGGATGCCCCACAACCTCCACCAACACCTGGAGGGCTACCTGTGGAACTACTACATGTCCCTGCCCCCTGCTACTGAGGAGGACATTGCTGCTGGCATTGACACCTTTCTCAGTGTGTGAGAGGCCTGTGCCTGCCCAGCTGTGGGGACACGGGCTGTTCAGTAAAGTTCAGAACTGTGTCTTGCCTCTGTATACTATGGTGGGGAAATCTGGGGCCAGGGGAGTGTGGGCAGGGGCAGGGCTGGAGACTGGAAGGGCCCTTTCCCAGTGCAGGACTTACCATGTGTCCAGGGCTGGCGACACTGGCAGCTCGGCATGGGGCTCCCCATCAACACCAGCATCTGCCTGTGCCTAGTGTCCATGGCCTGCAGTGAGCAGGAGGCCAGTACCCAGCTAGGGGCACCCCCTGGGCACTCCTGGCAGCTGGTGGTGGGGTGGTCAGCTGCTCCTCGTGGCAGGGTGTGGGGCTGAGCTGAGGGCAAGGCACCCGTGGGGCAGAGCTCCCCAAGCTGCTAGTAGATGCAGCAGCTGGGGAGGGCAGTGGGGCCTGAGGTCCCCTCCTCTGGTGATGCATCACCGGAGGTGTCAGGGCGGGGTGGTCTTCTGGGTACAACTGGACCGGCAATTGAAGTCTGGTGACCGTTCATGCGATGCTGTCATGCCATCTGGGAGTGGCCTTGTGAATGCATCCTGGCTGAAATGGCCTCATAAATGTAAGCATTTGAGTGCCCGCCCTGCACAAACTGCCTCTGGACGTTGGCTGCACCCCCAAGTGCCACGAGATTGCATACCTTCTCCTGGGTCTGGTTGGGGCCCTGGGCGCTCAGGATGGGCAAGGGCACATAGGCAGGGCTTGGTCTCAACAGGGAGGATATTCCGGACATGCTCCCAATGCCAGCTGTCTGGGCCCCCACACAGCTGTCCCTGCGATGCCGGCCTTGGAGGGCTCCCAGCAGCACCTAGGACAGAGGCATGGCCAGGGAAAGGGAGCTACACAGCAGAGGCATTTCACCATAGTGCTTTCAAAGAGTTAGAGCTGGGGTTGAGCAGGAGCAGGGAGAAGGTCCTGGCCCTGGCCCTGGCCCTATAGAAAGCAGGGCCAGCAGCCCTGGGAGGAATCTCAGGGCTGGTCAAGGGTCTCAGCGGGCTGCAGCCCTTTGCAACACTCACCTGTAACCAAGAAGCAGATCCAGCTAGGGGATAGGAGAGGCAGAGGCTGCCTGGGTCTCGTCATGGGGGCACATATGACCTGCTGAGCTCCTGTACACAGCAGCAGGCTTGTCCAGGCTCCTGGTGTGTGTATCCCAAGGCACAAAATGGCTGGAGGCTTTTATAGCCTGCAGCTAGGGGCTGCCAGAGAGCAGCCCAGCCCTGGAGCAGGAGAGGTGGGCAGCCAGGAGCCCTGGGGCTGAGCTCTGGCCAGCCCTCTAATGGCTGGGCAGACCCAGTACTGAAGGCCCTGCATTAATGTGCATTAATGTGTCTACATGTGCATTAATTCACTATAACTAATCACACCCAAATTTGGTATGTGCTTTATGCAGGTATCAAATGTAGGTGCAATAAACCTAAAATCACCATTTTAAGGTGCATTAAGGTCACAGATATGTAGACTTGCTTCCTTAATGTGCCTTAAATCGGACTAATGCACATTAAATTCCCACATGTAGACGTGCCCACTAGGTCTGTGTGAAGCAGTTAGTATTCACTTTGGAATTGGATTTGGCCAATTCGGGGAACAGTGATTCAATTGGGTGATTTGAATCACTGTCCCAATCGATTTGGCAGAATCTGATTCAGAAATTTGGCTGCTGCTGAATCTCAGAATCTCTGAATCAGCACCCCCCCCCGGCAATGGCTCCCCTGCCTGCCCCAGTTCCCGGCACTTGTTAAAAAAAAAGCCCTGACTCAGTGGGTGCTGCCAGGTGGTGGTGGTGGGGGTGATCACCACTGCCTCACGCTGCATGGGGGGCTTTACAACAAGCCCCCCAATTCCTCCCCACTCCCCCAGGCCGCCCATGGCTGCCCCGCCCACCACAGCTCTGGCCCTTTAAGAAAAAAAAAACCAAGGGAAATTTCCATATTCACCATTCCTTCTGCTGGGTGGTGATCCCCGCTGCCCCCCACTGCCCTGCACCATGTGTGGGGTTCTGCACGATCCCACCGAAGCCCTGAGGCAGGAGTGGTGAGTCCCAGGGTTTTTCTCCATTTTTTTTTTTCTTAAAGGGCTAGAGCTGGCCTGGGCAGGGCACCCATGGGGAGGCTGGGGGAGTGAGGGGGGGGCTGGAG